GCCGGCGGCGCGAGATCATGGAGATCAGGAATGGTCGAGCCAGACCTCCCCCCTGCCCCTTAACAATGGTGAGAACCGTCTCTGTACACCTTCACAACCAAATTACGCCGTGGCCATACAAGGTGGCGGCGCCCTGTAGTCACGCTCTAGCCTACGGGAGAGCTCGAGGCAGGAGAACAGCGTGAACCCGCCCCGACGGCCCGCCGCCCCACGCAACGCCCCCCCCCCAGCGCCCCAGCCGCCGAGCGCGCTCGGAGCGCCGCTGCCACTGACGCCGACCCGGATGCGGCCCACGCACTCGCCCCTGCCCGGCCAGACGCCAACCAGAGCCCCGCGGCAGTCTCAAGAGAAACACAGACAACAAAACACTTAGCCCGAGGCATCGGTGGCACACGGCTTGCTGTATCCGCCGTACCTTGGCAGAGGGTTAGGACACACGAGAGATCACTTGGATCCAGGAGCAGAAGTCCTGCCAGTGCCCGTCGAGACTCATGGCGCCCCTGCATCACGCGCTGCCGGCACAGAGCAAGACCTCTGTCTCCAAAGCGACAACCAACACCAACCTTCATACACATACCTCTCTTAATCTCTCTTTCCCTACTTTCGCTTTACACTGTACTCTACGCGAATTGGCATCTGAAATTTTTTTAAATTTAAAAATGCTTTTTTAACTTTTATTCCTCTTTCCAAGCGCCCTTTCCGAACACGTACCTACCATACTATTTACCCACAGCCAGATTAAATCAACTTTTAAGTATTTTGTCGCGCTGGTCGCATGGCTGCGCCCTCCATGCCTCGTCAATCCTGCACCCTTTGGGACCGGCCGAGCAGAGTTGGATCACAACTGGTCCAGGACACGATCGGAGACCATCACCTGCCGCCCTCTAACATGGTGAGAACCCCGTCTTCTTACTAAAAATACAAAAATTTAGCCAGGGGAATACGGTGCAGGGCTGTAGTCCAGCCCTACTCAGGGACGGCTGAGAGGAGATGCACGTGAACCTGGGGGCGGAGCGTGCAGTGAGCGGAGATCCGTGCCGTGCCACTGCACTCCAGCCTGGGCAACACAGCGAGACTCTGACTCAAAAATACACAAACAAACAAACAAACGAGCATCTTGGTCCATGTTTTCCTGTGCACACGTGAGAGAATTTTTCCAGGGAAAGAAACCAAATAGTGGACTTTCTGGATTGTTGGACATAAATCTTCAACTTTACCAAGAACTGCCAAACTATCCTCTAGACTGGTGTCAGTTGACATTCCCATGAGCAAAGAATAAAGAAATCCCACTTTCAGCATGTTCTGAAAAACTTTAATATTTTTGACAATCTAATGGGTATTAAATGATAGTCCTGGCCAGGCACAGTGGCTCATGCCTGTAATCGAAGCACTTTGGGAGGCTAAGGCAGGTATATTACTTCAGGTCAGGAATTCAACACCACCCTGACCAACATCGGTGAAAACCCGTCTCTACTCAAAAAAAAAAAAAAAAACGCTGGGCACGTGTAGCTCACACCTGTATTCCCAGAACTTTGGAGGCCGAGGTTTGGCGGATCACGAGGTCAGGAGATTGAGACCATCTTGGCTAACCATGGTGAAACCTGTCTCTACTAAAAATACAAAAAATCAGCCGGGTGGTGGTGGGCGGCCTCTGAGTCCCAGCTACTCAGGAGGCTAAGGTAGGAGAATGGCGTGAAGCCGTGAGGCGGAGCTCCAGTGAGCCGAGGTCGCGCCACTGTACTCCAGCCTGGGTGGACAGAGCAAGACTCCGTCTCGGAAAAAAAAAAAAAAAGAGAATACAAATACCAGGCAATGGTGCCGCATGCCTGTAAATCCC